ACCTAGTACCGGCCGCGTGTCGGACATGCATCTGGCTATCTGCTGGGACCTGAAGCCACTGAAAGAGGAAGACGAGCCTCGCCCCTCGCCCCACATAGATGGGAGCAACGGCAGCGCCGCTCCAGCGGTGTTCGCCCTAGTGCATCAGCCACCTCCTGACCACGGCACCAAGGAGGGCTGTGGAACCAAAGAGCACTGCGACACCAAGGAGGGCTGTGGAACACCAGAGGGTTGTGACACTCCACCAGATAAGAGAGAAAATGTCTTCACCGTAATCCCCAAGAATGCTTGGGTTGAGACCAAGGAGAATAGCAGCCCCAATGTGGGAAGTGCCCACAGGAAAAATGGCAGAGCCAAAGCCGGAGCTCACACACCTGCAACACTAGGGCGTCTGAAGGAGCACAAGAGCTCCCCCAACCTCTTGATGCCAAGCCACAAACCGGCCAAGCGCCTGCTGGGAGCACGCCCCTGTGTAGCCTGTGAGCTCAAGCAGCCATCCCCACAGTACCGCCCCCGGTCTGAGTATAAGATGGCCTTCAAAGCAGGAAAACCCAACAATAGCATGAACAGCATCGTCAACACTCGTCCACAGACAACCGCTGCCAAGCGGATGCATGTGCCCAAACCTCGCGTGCCCTTTGCCAAGAGGAGTTACTCTATCGACACTTTGATGCCTCCTTTCAGTCTGTGGCCTGGTCACACAGAGCAATGCTATCCAGAGCACTGGAGGCTTGCTTCTGTGTACCAGCATGCCTACAAGCCGGTGGAAGCAAGGAGGAAGCCCCTTCTGGCCAGTGTCTACCAATAAAGCCATTAGATTCCATGTTTGTTGGCAATTAACAAAATTCCAATTTTCAAACATAAGAATGCAGAACTATATTTTAAAGTTTACATTAATTTGGTATTTTATCACACATTTTATAGAAGTCTGTAAGTTGTAATTTGCAGAAATTACATTTCTTCCTTCCTTCCTTCCCCCTCAGACGTGTGAAAGTTCATCTACTTCTGAGTCTGCACAGCATCACAACCCAGAAGAAAAACTTAATTAAATTTCTTTGTGTTTTGTTGTTATTATTACAGCCCAAATAACAAGATTTCTGATGATGGTTGGTACTTTCCCACTTTAATTTAGAAAAATTAATTCTAGTGCAGTCATCTACTCAGAATTTTGGGATATAATCAGGTCTTATGGATTAGATCTTGTGGCCTGTTCCAAATCAGAATTTCTTCTGAAATTATAAATCAGTTTAAAAATTTGGTAGGACGCGTTGGACATGTGATCAGACTGGTGGAAGGTCCCAGCCTACACAGGACAGCAGAACACAGGAAGACAAGGACAAAACATTCATGTCTTAAGTAAGATTTGAACCTGCAATCCCAGTATGCAAGCAGCCAAGATCCATGCCCTAGATTCCGCTGCCTCTGAGATTGGCAAATTTGTTGATATATTTGCAATATACCTTTCCTAGGAAAGGACAGTTTCAGAGACACTCATGGAAAACAAGTACTTGGCATATAATCAGGCAATGACAAAAGAGAACAGTAGTCAACTTTCTGTTATTAAGTTTTAGAATATGAAGAATGTCTGTCCACAGATATGAACAATTATGTGGATCTGGTATATTTTATGTGGAGAATTAATTTTTTAAATTGTTAAATGTATCTTTTCTACTATTCAATCTTTTGGGATTTTCTTTTCTGTTTAGTTGGCAATGTTTATACAAGATGGTGAAGTGAAAAGTTTAATTATTGCATATAATTACAAAATTTTTCATCTATAAAGGTAAGATCTTCATGTTTTAAAATAATAGTGATTAAATAATAGATAAGAATGTTACTTAAATTAGCTAAATAGAAAATAAAATCAAGAGTGGGAAAATAATTTTAATTAACATATACTACATGTTCTATGTTAAAACATTATGTAGAAGCATGCCATACTTACAGCAAATCACATATTAATCTGTTTTGTATTTGGAATGCCTGTTATGAAATGTTATATGGAATTTTAAACACAATCATCTGTACACATTACTTTATTTGTTATATTAACAACAGAGGTTATGTAATGTCGGATGAGATAATATGTTCATACACAGTAAGTTGGAAATTGCTAGGAAAGAAATTTTTATGGCCTTTGTTGTAGTATAGGCACAAAATTTGTCTGCATGGATTGATGAAAACAACGGAGTAATAAGTTAAAGTAACCATTGCCTGCTCATAAGTTCCAAAACACAGATCCTGCCCTGGTATCAAAGTGTATCTGATATCTCTGATACCAGTCATGTCAATGTTGATTTGCCAGTCATTTCAACTGAACTCTTTTTGTTTTCCTCGAGCTCTCAGGTAAATGCTGGAACAGCATTTGTGCTACTTCATTCCAAATTGTTGCCATTCATGATTTCTCTTCATAACTAATTTTTATGTTGTATAACCAAAGTAGCTGAAGTAGCGTCCTTAAATTAATTACATAAAAATCTATCAATATGGTCTATGGAGAAGAAATCAATACATTGAACTATTTATGTAAGGGGAAAGTGAATTAGGTTAAGGATAGATCTGCGTAAGGCCTGACTGGGGTTTGATCCCTGACGGGTAGAGGAGATTTCCTCTAGCCTGTGTATCCAGAATGGCTCTGGGGCCCACTTAGCCTCTTATACAATGGGTACCAGGGTCCTTTCCTGCGGGTAAAGTGCAGCTGGGGCATGATTTTGATTAATCACCCCTATCTATTGTTCAGGTTAAGAATGAGTAAGAGCTATACTCGCTCTCCCCCCAAGCACCTACATGGCATATAATGGGACAGCTTTGTTTTCTTTACTGCATATGGCCTGTGTGTGTCTAGTTTGTTTGGAATAATTGTGGAAAGAACACCACAAGAAAATCTGTGAAGCCTTTCCCAATTCACCTACAGTTCATTCTGCTATTTTCACCATCGATCGCTCATTATTGTACTGTTATTGCACTAATAATGTAGTACAATTTAATTATCTGATCATCGTACTTAACATACTTGCCAATCTAATAATCAGACCTCAATATAGTGCTTGTCCTACAGTGAATTGACCCTTCCTTGGACAATGAGACTTATTTAAGTAGATCTGCTTGAAAATTATATAGAAACTTTTTTCATTTTCATACAGACATGAAACAAATTTTTGTACTGATGTCGAGACTTTTTCTTTGGACGTCAGTTAAAAATAATTTAAATACTGGCCCTCGGTGACCCATGCATCATTTTTCTTTTCAATCCATTAGTGTAGTGATGTAACCAGCGCATTGAGTCAAAGTTGAAAGCCAAGAAATTATGTAGAAAGATTTTTATTGTAAAATATTCTTTAATAAATTGAGCATTCTGCAATATGGCAATGACTGAAACAGAAACTAAAGTCATTTGCCTCATGCATCTATGCTCTCTGCTCTTTCCCCTCCATGTTAGTATTTAAAATCAAACACTTTGCTTGTAATATTTTACATACCTCCGGACCCTTCATCTGCAGCTTCGATAGTACTGCTACTGACAAGAACAATAATCTAATGCTCGGTATCTCTAAAAAAATATGTCTCATGTTTTTACATCATATTTATTTACAAAAAAAAAAAAGACAGTACATGTAAATAGCTTAGGGCAACAATCGACTGTACTCCAGGAAGAAGGAACTCTTCTTAACTCCGTCCCATACCTTAGAAGCATAGTGGAACCTGCAACAGTTTGTAAAATTTCCAATAAAATGTTAATGTACATAAAACTTCTTTAATGCTGAAAATGCAATGACCTACAAAATGTTTGCAACATTTTGCAAATGTCAATGGCACGACCTGCATATACATCACACTTCTATTTTTCAACTGAAAGTTCAGGATAATAAGTTAACCCAATATGCTCATGAACACACCAAATGTAAACCTCGTCTCAGCTGTGTCACGCGTTCAAACATTTCACACAACTACCTTCTGCTTCAAGCTCCTGTAAAACACACCGATTGCAGTAGATCATAAGTTCATATAAGAATAACAGGTGTCTGGTGTATTATACAATGTTATGTAAGTTTCTAGGTAGAATCATTACTGTGATACTGGGAACGACCCGTTCTTCAAGTGCCTGAGCACTTTGGGTCCCAACTTTCTGTTGGCTTATCTATAGACATTTTGGTAGGACTCCTTGGACGAGGGATCGGCCTGTCACAAGGCCTCTACCTGTACACAGGACAGCATAACACAGAAAAACGCGGACAAACATCCATGGCTTGAGTGGGATTTGAACCCACGGTCCCAGCGACCAAACGGCACAAGGCCCACGCCTCAGACCTCGTGGCCACTACGGACCCCATCATTACTAAGTAACCAATCAAGCAGTTACACTGTTTGAAACCATACTACACACCAATTCTTCTCAGAGAGGATAGTGTGGGTGATCGGGTGGCGCGCGACGCCGTGGATCTGGTTCCGCAATTTTGACAGCAGCTCAGTGAAACCAGGATGACCTCTGTAGTGACCGTCCTCTTCTGCAACAAAATTCATGCTTTACATTACTGGAACATTGCACATTGGTTGTTTTGTAAGAGTGATAGCATAAAGGTACCGCACCTATCTCTCCAATTTCCGGTAAGAGGAACAAGTTCATGGCTTCTCCACACGTGGCAGGAGTTAAGGAGTTGATTATATTCCCTGTGGCAATGCCCATACCACTCTGGATCTGAAGTCTGGACCTCAAGAACGTTCGATTGTACACTGACTGAAAATATAATGACTTCATTATCCAAACAAGATCTGATTCCACAGAAACAAGGAATACAGAATAATGCTCGACTGGTAGGAGAATTAATATTTTATGGCGTTTTATTTCTATGAAGCAATATGGTGCAGAAGAGTACCTGTCCAATGAAATTGAGAGATACTGTGAGGAACCGTCACTCAGCAAATGATGGGTACATAAAATATCAATAAAGGGTATACGTTACACATCACCCCATAGGTAATAGACACTGGAAAATATATGATTATCACCATCTGTTAGGTACATGCCACTAACTATGTTCTTATCTCTTGACAGTAAAAAAAATTCTTCAGTATAATACTTATGAAAATCACATTTCTGATCAGATGAAAAGTTTATGTATAATATTCCTGGGACTGAGAGGATAAGAAATTCCAACAAAGTAAAATTTTAAGAGCAAAATATAAATAGGACAGACCTGCATCAATTTGACCTGTGAAGGACTGAAATCAGTGGTTGTTGCATGATTCTGAAGGAACAGCACATTTGGAAAATACTCTATAATTTCCTCATCTTGTGATGTCGTTGGAGTGGAAGGCTTCAACATCTCTGCTGACTGCAGGAATCTAATAATGTGACAAAATGTTACAATCTTAAAATGTGTCCAGAATGTCAGATTATTTTAAAAATTAAAGGTGTCGTTCTACAAAGGTACTTTCATTTATTGAAAATGACAGAATATAACAGGAATGACTTCAGTAAGTTTCTTGTGGTGTTGCACCTGAGAAAGTTTGGGTCAAAAAACCAGTCCTGCACCATTATGACAACGTGACAGACAGACAGCAAGAATGCTGCCAGCTGCAAGGACTGTATCTCCATGGCATTCTCTGTCGATGCAAACTCGGTCCCACCAAACTTCTTGTTCTCCTGCTGTACCAATCGGTCCATGACTGATGCTGACAGCATGGGCTGTGTGTCCAACAGGATGACACGATTTGAAGTCACCAACAGGTCAACTCCTGTTGTACAGTGCCCACCCAGTTCGTGGTGCTCCAAGCTCTGTGGCCTGAAGTAGAAGTTCCTGTAACCACACAACACTGTAACTGTTTCTTATCTTTGTTATACCGATTTTATATCGCCTTTTCTTTTTAAGTACTGGCTGAAACAAATTTAATTTGCTATTTATTCACCATTTAAGATATAAAGAATCCTGAAACAAATTTAATTTGCTATTTACAGTTTTTCTTTTATTCACCATTTAAGATATAAAGAATGGAAAATCAGGTACCGTCTATATTCTTCAATGCATAAAGTCCAATTTCTTTCTTATGTTACATCATTTTATTATCTTTAATATAAGGCAAAATACAAATACCTTAAAGCCACAGTAAAACCATCACAAGTGTTATGGCTGTGCTATGAACAGATTAAATGATACTGACGATTCAGATCAGACAAGAAATCATGTGAATCTTTCTTTGAACAGTAACTCACTTGCTGGGTTCATCAGGATGGTTGCCTGCCAGGAGGGACATGAATGTCGACTTCCCAACACCCTGCAGTCCCAAGCAGCCTACCACCATGAAGTCATTCTGATCCAGTAGAAACTCCAAGGCCCCATCACAGAACTGGAATGCTTCATCCACCAACTTAACACTGCTCTTCATTTCTGTTGGCAGGGCTAGAGGGTTTACGTCTGCAAGAGAAAACCACATAACGCAACAGAAGCAGGTATTTTGAGGACCATGCAAATGGTCTTAGAGTAACCATATTGAGACAATTAATACTCAGAAAACAAATAATTTTGTTTTAAATTAAGTAATTTCATGATATTATCTTATGTTAGAAGCAGTTATAGTTTATATTTCAACAGCCTAGCAAAAACCCTACTAGATACCCAGTTTCCATATATGTTAGAAAACACAAACTAAGGCTGCAGTACATACACCATGATAAAATCATGTCCTGCTCTACAGTATTCCCAAACTTACTATCTCCTCCTGCATGCTTGGCTGCAAGGTGGTATAATGGTGGCTGTTGTGTCTCCGATTCCTTCCTGAAACACACACAGATCACTTTTACCATATACTGTGGTCAGATATGATTTTCTGCAAACAGTGAACCATGAATTATTTTGTAATTTTTGTCATAATAGACAGTTACTTTCTTAGAGTAAAGGAAGCCATATTGAAGCTTGGTTAGCAAATAGCTCTCCCTGTTGTATTGGTGAATACAAACTTCTTTAATTTTTCTACTATGCCCTACCTGAGAACAGTAGCTGGACGTTGACTTGGGGATACAGCCCTGTTCTCTCCTTCCCTTGTGCGAAGGATAATGGTTGGCTGGGACTGTAGACGCTCTGAGGACTTTGCCATGTTCTTATCTCCCAACCTCTCCTTATCCCTGTCAGTGTCCCGCTCGGGCTTTGCCAGGATAATAGGCAGTCTCCGGTTACCATCTTTCCTATCCTGTACAAAAAATTCTATTAGTCTGAATTCTGCAGCCTACTTTAAAACTATCTTGTTAATTGAAGTTCGAAATCTGCATCCATTTTTGGGTTTCATATAATTGTACCCAAATTCCTATCTAAAATCTATTAAAAAATGCGTTCGTGCGTGTGTATATACATACACACACAAAACCACAGTGGGTACCATAACCTATGAAACGCTTCAATACTACAGTATCTACACAAAAAACTAAACCCACTAACCTTGTTCATAGAGAAATACTTCTTTTGCCTCATATCCTTTACTTTGTCGAATTCTGACATCGCTTCTCGCGAAAGGCAATAGCACAGAATTAAAATAATTCACGACGACTTACAAACCACAGACTTCTTTTAATTCTCTGTTGTCAGGTTGTCCAAACATTTCCACAGAGAGTAAATTTCCCTCTTCTTCATGGATGCCAATATTTGTGTAGTTATACTTTACAGTTTACAATGACTCCGCTTACAGCGCTTGTGTCGTCCTCTGAATGTTACAGTTGTAATTTTAAAATATTACTAAACTAACGATTACACTTTATGAGCCCGTGTATGAGACAGCTTTTGCTACGAATATTTCTTGATTATCCACGATTTATTCAGCACAAATCTGATTTTTTCAGAATTTTTCATTAAAATGCACTAACAGATACTCAAAGGTTCCTATATATTGTAGTAAATCTATGGATTTTTTTAAACCTGTTTCTAGACAGTTAAACGTTTTACCTACCTTTGTATTATTCTCACCAGCACTACGCAATATGTGTCTGTTTCAGGTTAGAAAACCCCTCAGTTTTCATCCGCTTATAGATCTTTCTTTTACCCTGAAATGAAATAACCTCCATTTAACGTAAACTAATTCCTTGAAGCTTTTAAAATATTGGGAAGTATTTTATTCCGTAGTTGGTATGAACGGAGATGAGCGAGGGAGTTGTGTACGAAAACAATTTTTTCTATTCCAAATTGTTGAGACACGTTTCTACCTTTGTATCGCCAAGCTGGTTTCTCTTACACCCGCATTTGGTCGAAAACTCTCGTTATTAAAATAACTGCCCCCTAGTTTCGTTTTTACCAATTTCTTTATGAATGGTATATTTCTTTCTGGAATTCGGGATGTCGCCTTTAAAGTTGTGTTTATGATTCTTATGGACAATCGGTTAAACTTTTAACCACAAATTTTACTCTTTTTAGAAATGGGGCCTGTTCGTGCTGCTCGACTTACCGTAACCATTTTCTTATCGTTAAACTTCCGGTTTCACTGTAATTTTCCGCTGTCCAGTTCACTGCTTGGGGCAAGGACATTACGTCGCCTGATTAACGGTTAAAGCAACAGTTTTTTTTTATATATACTTCTAAATGTTGTACGGTCAAGAATGTTTCCAGTGTCTCTCAAGAAACTGATGGGAGAGAGTCATTATTTTATTTATTTATCGACGTTTTATCAGTGTTAAAGGTTAATGGAGTCGAATAATATGATGACAGTTGGTGGTTAATTAATTGGTAATTATGTGAAACAAAACACTGATGACTTGCGTTTGCCTAAAGGTTCCTAGGAAACAAGCCATCACAACCGAATGTTACGCCGTGTAGTCTAGTAGAAATTCACCGACGTTTCAGAGGAGTTTACCAGCATTAAAATTCCTTCATGTATCTTATTTTGAGACAGATTAGTACTCAAGTCGCCCATCTGATATTTAAGTTCTGCATAGATTAATCTTAAAAGTCTCTGAGGGAGACCGGAACAAATTCGCAGAGTTTTTATTAATTTCGTCTTACCGAATCAACGTGGCTTGGGTCTGGATGGGGGGGCCGGGCGGTACAGAGGGTTGGGTTTCTTGACCCCCAAGGCACTATCGATCCGAGGTGCGTTTGACTTTCCCTTGTAGCGTATCGACTGTTCGTGGCTGGTCTCGATCAGACGGCGTCTAGACTGAGGCGAAGCGTAGAGAGAGATTACAAAACTAATCCTCAAAATTAATTAATTACACGTAACCAGTTTCTTGCTTTATCTATCAGTAATTCTGTGTTTTGTGGTTTAGTATGATTCTACGATCATTTCTTTAATTAATCGTAATGGTTACGTGTTGTGTTTTCTTTGAGGTACGGACTGAATGTTTAGATACGTTTTCTTTGAAGATTTTCTGAATCTTAGGTAGATGCCAACGTTTCAGAGGAACATTATGTATTTATCTTTAGCCCCGAAGGATTTTAGACTGTATATAAAAGCAAAATAACATTACTTACTTCGGTCAGACATTATCTGCCACCTTCCGTGGTATCCGCTGTGGGAAATATTACTTTAATCAGCGGTGAAAATCTGTTGACAGCCATTTGTTGTTGGGCTAATTTAACTGGACTAGGATCGAACAGTAGCAAAGGTCAGGGGGCTTCTGCTGCCCGTGTGATGGGTGGGTAGGACTTTAATACGCGTTTAGGTGATTTGATTTGGAATTTCTGACCGATTATCATGCGTTGTGTGCGAACAGTGCATAATGTCTGTGGTCATATCAGTCTGTCTGTTCATCCGCATGTAGTTTCATGGTCGAAACTGAAAGTTCTATAACTTTATTTATAAGGACAGCGTTTCGTGAGTAATACGTATGCAGTTTTATTTTAAATATCTGAAGATAAATGGAAGCTTGGAAGAATCCGGCGCCGATGTTAGGGTAATATTAAAATGGATCTTGAATAAATGTTGTGGATCGGATTCATCTGGCGAGCTGTTGTGAGCACGATAATGAATTATTCGACTCCCACATAAGTTGAGGAATTTCTAGACTAGCTGAGCGACCGTTAGCTCCCGAAGAAGGGCTGTGATCCATGGAGTTAATCTGTAAAAACCATCTAACACATTCTCTGTAATTAGACCAGATTCGCTGACCTCGTCACACCCAGTGAAACCACAACGCAGACCCCAAACAGCGCATTTCCCGCCAAACTCGAGAGCGGATCGATCCGTCTGGTAACCATGGAGACGAGCCAGAATGTCAAACGTACACATCTCATGTAAACACATAGGCCTATGTTTTTACGGGGGTGAGAGGGGGGGGTCAACCCAATCAATAGGGCGTGGCCTATTTTTGATGCGCCATTCGAACCACTGTTCTTATCTCCCTGTCTGCAGACAACGCAACCCGTGATTGACGACCAAGTTGCTCGTCCACATGTCTTGAACGCTTTTCATATTCAGCGTCGTTAAAAAACAGCTGTGTAGAGAAAGGCGGATTCTGTTGCAAGTGGTGCTGGAACATCCCGAGAAAATCCGTACCAGGGCGTCTACATTAATTCTGCGAGCGAGTGGTTGTGATTAGCAACTCGGAGGGAGACCTACTCCATTGACACTTCGTTCACGACGAACCTCACTTGAAGTTACCCTGGATTGAGCCCAGGTCTCTGCGACGAGAAACCAGTGTCTAACTGCCTGAGCTATGCCGAAATTTTCACGTGAGATTATTAATGAGATTGTTGACATCTGTTCTTGTAATAACTAATATCGTTCATACAATGTCGATGTTCACAGTAGTTTTCCATTGACCCCTATTCTGGGTCGGATGAATCCATCCGGATGGCCGTGTCGTATTTCTCTAAGATACATTTTAATATTATCCTCGTCCCACCTACTCCCACATCGTTGTGTTTACGGTACACAGCGGTTAAATAAATAAAGTGTTACAACGAATTCTCTGTGGAACTGGGGGACTTAGGGTGACTGTCTTCTGGGTTGTTGCGCCGTGTATTTTACGAACGTTTCAGAGGTCCTTGCTCCTTCCATCTTCAGGATGTGAGAATCATAAATCCTACTTAGGAGACTCATATTCTTAGTGGCTGAGTTTAAAGTTATTTAACGATGCTCTTTAGCTGTAGAGGTTGAATGGCTTTCGTGAGTTTGTCGTGAAATTCGAACAGATAAAGATTTAATTGTTGTTAGTGAAGCAGTTTCAGGTGCTGTAGAAGGACTGTGTTCCGATGGTTTCAACAGAAAGTATTTCAACGGTTTAGGTGCACGTGCACTCAAGTTTGCGAGGAGGTGGCTTTAGTTCTGTTATTGATCTGAACAAATGCGCAGCGAGTAGCGTTAGCCAATCATAGGACCCTCCCATGTTCATGTAAAGAACGCCTGCTTGATTACCTAGTTTCTAATTACCCGGTGTGTTTACACAGTACTTTTGAATGGCACGTGTGTGCATGCGCGGTAGTTATTAATATTCATTAAAAATATCTAATTTGATTTGCGATAAACAGAGAACAAGAACGTAGTGTTCTGAATGAAAGCTTGAAACTCGGGTTATTTGCTACGTTGGTCAGGAAAAAAAAGAAAGCTTAGTTCAAGTATGTAGGTGCCGTGTTGCACAAATCTGAGCGTGCTTGACGAAAGAGTATCCGTCACCAAACTGTGTGCTTCAAGGTCACAGCAAAACGCGGTTGGAATACGAACACTGGAGCCAAGATAAGTGAAGACAGTTCAGAACTCGCACCGTAGCAGAACTATTATTATTTATTATTTAGTGTTCTGTCTGACGACAGGTCCATATGAACAGGATCCTTCCATCCTTTTCTCGGACTGGGACCTGTTCATATACGTTCTTGGCAGATGATCCAGAAGTGGTTTGCCATTGCCTTCTTCTGTGTGTGAATGGAGTAATTGTTGGGATGCCACGGAGGAAAACTCCGTGTTGCCTAGACCACGGCGTTGCCCAACACAAGTTATAAATTCGGGCACCGCCGGGAATCGAACCCGAGACCCCATAAGAATTTTTTAACTTCGGCAAAAGATGGAAGTGATTGGTCAGCTCCACGTTTCGGCCGATTTATCCCAGTGCATACAACTCAAGACATTGCGCGTCTCTCAGTCGAGGTGGACCGACGTTTCAGACGGTCTTACTGTCTCCATCGTCAGGGCGATGAGTAAGCCACACGCGGAAATTAGATACCGGAGTAAGTTGGACAAGGCAGAGAGAGCCCTGATATATTTCTGTCACATTTAAGAAACATGCATCATTTCTAAAGTTCACAAATTTTCATGAATCCAATAAACGAGGCGTTATTTCTTAGGATGGAGAAATTTGTATTTTTCGTTTTACACATATGTATGTAGACATAAAAATCTCGAAGCATGATATCTTCATTGTGTAGATATAATTCCACTAGCAGGCTTGTTCAGTGTTAAACTTGTTTTCTTTGTCTTCCAGATAAGAAACTGAATTAACGAATTGCCCATAAAGAGGGCACTGCTGACTGAGTTACCTTACGTCTAAGTAGATCGCGTTCCCACCTTCGAACATGCTCCACGCATTTATACTTATATTGTTTTAATTTAACTTGAATGTGTTCATTCATCTTGGCAACATGACACAAGGTGTACATTGTAGATATTGTTATGTATCGTCAACATATAATTTTTGACA